GCCGGGACACGGAAGCAGGTGCCACGACACCCTAGAGACCGCCTCCCGCGATGGAAACGCCGTAAACAGAGACTCATCCGGTTGCAACGCGGCTGGGGCTGCCCTGCGGCTGGCTCCCGGCTCCCGGTCCCCCGGGCCGCCCCCAAGACCACATCACCCTCGGGAGAAAGCAGGAGCCGTGATCTGACGCCCAGGTCCCCTGCCTGTACCTGCCTCTGAGCCCCCCGCCCCCTGTGCTCAGCCCTCGGCCCCTCGGCCCTGTGGACACCGGGAGGCGGCACTGGAGGCTCAGAGGAGCCCAGCAGCCCACCAGGCTGGCAGGTGGCAGGGCTGGGACTGGAGCCCAAGAGACTCCAGCTCAGGGAGGCCCTCCCCCCTCCTGCCCGGGCGGGGGGCAGGGAGCGGGGAGCGGGGAGCAGGGAGCGAGGAGCGGGGAACAGGGAGAGGGGCCTGTGCAGGGCCGGGGCTGGGGGCTGGGGCCGGGGGCTGGGCCCGAGGACCAGAGGCAGCACACTCGCCTCCACAGGCTGGACCCTCCCCCTCCTGTCACCGCCATGCCCCGGGGCCCTCAGACCAGGTGATGCTCTGGAGCTGGGGGGGAGAGGGGGGGGCCGAGAGGGGGGACAGGGATGTCTGGCCCAGGCCTATAAGGCCCGTGAAATCACGTGGTCTGGCCCCGCCGAGGCATCGGGGGTGAGTTCACGAATGTCTGAGCAGGCACCGCAGGCTGGCTTCCAGGGCTGATGGTGTGTGGCCCTCGGATAAGGTTATAAATACCCACCGGCCCTCGGCAGAAGGAGGGTTCCCCACGCCTGCCCTGCAGGACCAGGGCTCCGACAGGCGACTCCTCCACAGCGAGCTTCACTCCCACTTCCCGGGCTTTCCCGCCTCCACCAAACTGGGAACGTCATGGCAGAAAATGTGCCATCTGCCCCCACACTGCCTCACCAACAGGAGCCAGAGGCCAAGGGTCCTGGGTGGCTGCTGAGGGGTCAGGACATGCCCCATTTGTGAGCTCGGGGTGCCCAGGCTGAGCTGAGCCGGCCGGGTTCTGGCCACCACCGGCCCTTTCGGAGGTGACAATGTCTGATGACTTTCTGGGTCCGGAGGCCCCGTCTTCTGCAGCGCCGACGTCAGATGGGGCCTCAGGGGAGCTGGCACCAGGGCCACCACCGAGGCCGCTCCGGATGGGTCACCTGGGAGCCTGCAGGCCCAGCTGGGGCCTCTCCCCAGGCCCGGGAGCCACGGCAGCGGTGGCTTCTGCTCTCACCGGATTCCCGTGGCGGAAGGAAAGCAGGACGACGCGGAGTTCTGGGGAAGACGCAGGCGGAAGGCGGCTCGCTCTCCCCTCCCCGGGGCCTCGTGTGTGGGTGTCTCCCCCCGGGCTCCGCTCCTCCTCGGGGGTCAGAGGGCGCTCTGGGAGGGCGCAGGTGGTGGACGTGCGATGTCTGCCCTCGCTGCTTTCTGAATGTGCCATTCCTTACGCACTTTCTCCCTCCCAGTGCTCAGACCCCGCAGGCGCTCAGCAAGCATTTGTTGACGGACCAATGACCACACGCCCTCGAACCCCTCACTGCCTCCGCCTTGAGGCGGCTCTGACCTCGGCTGTTGTCCTCGATGCTCACGGGGACCCGCGGTGGCTGCGTCCCTGCACTGGGGTTAGGGCAGGACTTGCTGCTCTGTTCCCGATGCGGGACCTGTGCCAGCCAGAGGGGGCCAGGGCTTGGTCTGGCTCTGCCGCCGCTCTCCTTGGCCCTGGGCCTCGGTTTCCCCCAGCGTCCTCCAGGTCCCCTCCAGCTCCGCATGCTAACACAGGAGCCAGCAGCTGCCCAGGCTCCCCACCCGCCCCTGCCCTTTCCACAGCGGCCAGACACCAGAGCCCGGCACGGGCGCGGGGGAGTGCAGTGGGGCTACAGCCATGCCGAGGGGCTGGGTAGGGGCTGGGGCTCGAGGGACGGAGGGCGGCCGAGCATGCTCCCTGCTCCCGTCCTGGGCTGGATCGTGTGTCCCCTCCCGCCCCCCAATCCAGATTCAGCGTCCTAACCCCGGGACCGGGGACGCGGCTGCACTGGGAGAGAAGGCCTTCTCGGAGGTAATTAAGGCAAATGAGGTCGTACAACGGGCCCTCATCCAGTCTGCCTGGTGTCCTTACAGGAGGAGCAATTACGGCACAGACACACGCCGAGGGGACCCTGTGGGGACGCAGGGAGGATTGGAGGGGCCTCGGGAGGCACCGACAGCCCTCCTGCCACCTCGGTCCCGGGCCTCCAGCCTCCTGGACTGGGGGGTGGGGGGAGGGGGGGGGAGGTCAACTCCGTCTCCTCAGCCGGCTTCCCGCAGCTCAGGCAGGACAGCACGGCCCTCGCATGAGCCTCTGACCCCGGGACCCTGCCTCCCGGAGCCGCGGCGCCCAGGGGGGTCACAGGCTCAGAGGAAGCGTGGGTCTCCCCCAAGGTGCCACAGGGCAGAGCTGGCACAGGAGCCCCTCCCAGCTCGGGGTCTCTCCTGAGCCCCGCTCGGACCCACGGTGACCCCATGGGTTGCGATGCTGTGAAGCCACCATGACGCTTGCCATCTCGTCATCTCCTGGGGCCCCACCCCCTGTGGGCTGGCCCTCTATCCGATGGGGAAACTGAGGCAAGGGGAGCGCCCAGCTAGTGCGCTGGACTGGGATCCGACGGGTGCCCAGTGCCATCTCCTGCCATCTCCCGGCCCCTCGAAGTCGGCATGGCAACAAGCAAGAGCAACCTCATTATGCAACCGGGAGGGGCGCTCTGCAGCCCCAGGGGCTCAGAGGCGCCGGGAGGCGTGCAGCTGGCACAGGTGAGACCGCGGGCCCCTGGGCAGCTGGGGCCGGACCACGTGACGCCTCCACACCTGCGGGCACCGGGCGCCGGGCGATGCCAGCCTCCGTGGGGAGCGAGGGCGGCCGGGGACCTGCCCCCGTGGTGACGGAAGCCCTGCCCTGCCAGATGCTCACAGCGGCCACACACCAGAGCCGGACGTGGGCACGGGGAGTGCTGCGGGGGCCACAGCCTGGCCGAGGGCTGGGGCTCCGGGGATGGTGCCGGCTGAGCATGCTCACCGCCAGCCCGCAGCGTGGGTCAGCTCAGAAAGATGGGGTGCACACCACACAGGCCATGTCTGTCACAGCTGTTAGGAACCTACTCTGTGCGGGAAACCAGCGATGCTGCTTCTGCACCCGCAGCCTCGTGTGGGAGGGCACCAGGCCCAGCGGGAGGGCACCGGGACCACCGCGCGGCCAGGGTGGTTCACACCCACCCCTGCCCTTTCCATCCTCCACCCCCGTGGCCCCGATGCCCACACACCCCTCTGCCAGGGCGTCCTCCAGGGCTCCCTCTGATGGCAGGGGGTGGGAGGTACCCATTACGGTCTCAGGAAGCCCCCAATTACCCTGCGCCCTGCCATTACCCTGCCCCCGGCAGAGGAGCCAGCTGGAGGTTTGGGGGTGCCCGGTTCCCAGGCCATTTCCGAGGGCCCCTTCCAGAGAATGAATGCAATGCTCCCCGCCCCCCACTGCCACCTGCTCTCCGCCCCTCTCCCAGCACCCACAGCCTGCCATCCCCCTGCCTGGGCTGGGAGGGGGGCTCCCTGGACTCAGTCCCCCCACCCCCACCCCCGCCGGGAAGCAGCTGCCCCATGGGTGTTTGCAGCAGGGCCAAGGCCACCCTGCAGGCTGCCGAGGGAGGGGCAGGAAGCACGGGTTCGAGTCCCCACCCGGCTGTGGGAACGGAGCAGGTGACTCCAGGCACAGGCCTCGGTCCCGCCCTGGAAAACAGGGCGCCGGCCCCTCCCGCCGGGAGTGCCAGGCAAGACCTCCGCCCAGGGCGGCCCGGAGGTGTAAATGCCGGTCTCTGCGGCCCTGATCCAGACGCCCCCAGGCCCCGCTCCCGGCCTCAGTTTCCCCCGCCCTCGGCGCTGCGGGCCCGTGGCGGCGGGAATTTTCCAGCGCCCCGCGGAGGCCGCGGATCCGGAGGGCGCGGCGCGGGAGGCCGTGGGGGGCGCGGGGGGAGGCCGTGGGGTGCGCGGGGGACGGCGTGGGGTGCGCGGGGGGAGGCGGGAGTGGGGTGCGCGGGGGGAGGCGGCTGTGAGGTGCGCGGGGGGTGGCCGTGGGGTGCGCGGGGGGCGGCGTGGGGTGCGCGGGGGGAGGCGGGAGTGCGGTGCGCGGGGGAGGCGGCTGTGGGGTGCGCGGGGGGTGGCCGTGGGGTGCGCGGGGGGCGGCGTGGGGTGCGCGGGGGGAGGCGGGAGTGGGGTGCGCGGAGGGAGGCGGCGTGGGGTGCGCGGGGGGAGGCGGCGTGGGGTGCGCGGAGGGAGGCCGTGAGGTGCGCGGAGGGAGGCGGCGTGGGGTGCGCGGGGGGAGGCGGCGTGGGGTGCGCGGAGGGAGGCCGTGGGGTGCGCGGGGGGCGGCGGCGTGGGGACACGCAGGGGTGCGGCGGCTGCCGGCAGAGAGAAGGGCGATCCGCACACCCCTGCCCTGCCGGCTGCGCGCCCCGCATCGGCCCGGGGCGGGAGAGGGCGCCGGGGATGGCTGCCGCCCTCCGCCCTCCGCCCGGGACCAGGCGCCGCGGGGACCATCCAGGGCGGCACCCCCGCCGCAGAGCCCCCCGCGCCGGCGTCACGGTCTCCGCGCCAGGGTCTGCGGCGCCCCCCGGCCTCCCTCCCGCCCCCCGTCCTCCCTCCCGGACCCCGGCGCCTCCTGCCCCCGCGGCGACCCCGGGCCCCAGGAGAGGCGGCGGCGGAGCCTCCAGACGGCGCAGCGCAGCCACCGCCACCCGCGCGGCAGCTCCGTGCCCGGGCGCAGGGCGCAGGGACAGGGACTGGGTCAGGGACAGGGGCCGGCTGCGCCCGCGTCCTGGGGACCCACAGACCCCGGAGCCAAAGTTGGCGGCACCGCCCGGCGACGCGCCGGCTGCAGGTGCAGCGCCCCCGCCCTCTGCGCCGCGACCGGCTCGGGAAGGCGCGCCGCGGTGCCCACTCACCCGCACTCATCTCGGCGCAGCTCCGAGGCGCCCGCCGGCGCCGCTGCAGCCCGCGCTCCGCCCGCAGGTGCGGCCCCGGCGACCCTCCGCCCGCGGGTCAGCGGCTGCGCGCACCGGCGCCGGCCGCAGCCCCGCCGCAGCCCCGGGTCGCCGGCCCCGCCCGCGGCCCCGCCCGCCGGCCCCGCCCCCGGCGTCCCGCCCCGGCCCGGCCCCCCTCCTCTTAGAGGGCGGGACGCACCCTGGGAAGTGTAGGCGCCGCGCCTTCATCATTCCGCCTTTAATAGCCCAGCCACCTCACGGACGGACTACAAGTCCCGGCAGGCCGCGCGCCTGGCGCATGCGCAGAGAGGCGACGCCGCTGCGGCCTCCAGCAGCCACTTGTGGGTCTCTGCAGAGCTGTCACCGTTGCCTGGCTGTCTGCCTGGCTGGCGCCAGCTGTTGGCAGCACGGGAATGCCGAGGAGGACATCCGAGGGGAAAGCGAACTTGGTGCGGCTCTTGAGTCCTAGAGCTGCAAAGGGTCTTGAATACCTACTGGGTCCACCCCCTCCCACCCTTTTGCAGAAGGGGAAACTGAGGCGGCGGCGGGGCAGGGCAGGATTTGGCCATTTCCGCGGCGAGGCCTGAGCAGGCTGTGGTTCCGGCCCAGGGCTCCTGACTCCAGGTTTAGGGCCGCACACCCCAGGCTCCTGGCATGCTGCTCCTGGCACGCTGCACCTGCTGCCGCCTGGTCTGGCTGGGGCTGCTCTGGGGAGGGGCGACCCCAGGACAGGACGGGCCCCAGACCCCGCAGTGATCCTCTGTGACGTCATGCGCCCAGCACAGGCCATGGGTATGGGAGGGAGGGTGGGGACAGGTGCACCCACTGGCGCCTTCCACTAAGGATAGGGCTGCAGGGGGTGCAGAGGGCCTGGGTGAGACCAGCATTCAGGAGGCAGGGTCTCTGGGACCTGGCACTGCAGGAGCGGGGCCAGGGCTGCTTGGAGGTGCTGTCAGCGAGGGCGGAGGGCGGGCCACGGAGATTGTGGACTCTGAATGGGATACCGAGGCAGAAGGAGATCTTTTCCTCTGGCCTCACGGCTCCTGGAGAGAGCTGGAGTCCTGCAGAGCCAGCCAGGGTCAAGGCCAGTCGGCCCCAGCCCCGCACACCCTGACACCCGGAGGCCCGCTGGGTGGCTGGGCCGGCAGCTGCAGGGCTCCGGGGCCTGCCCGCTGGGGCCTTTTGCCCAGAACATGTGTGATGGGATGGAAGGAGCCCTTCCCCTGGTCTGCTTGTTCTCACCTGGCCCCGCGGACAGCGATGGCAGAGCACCTGGGCCCCAGGTTCAATCCCGGTCAAGGGCATGCACTCTGGTTGTGGGCTTGATCCCCAGTGGGAGGCGTGCAGGAGGCAGATGATCTATGGTTCTCTCTCATCGATGTTTCTAACTCTATCCTTCTCCCTTCCTCTCGGTGAAAAGTATATATATATATAACATGCAAATATGTGCTTTCACGAACACCTTTAAATATATAAAACCACCTGCTTTATTTAAAAGCACAGTCGTTCAGCCATAGCCTGTTTGGCTCAGTGGATAGAGCATCGGCCTGCAGACTGAAGGGTCCCAGGTTCAACTCCGGTCAAGGGCACGTGCCTGGGTGGCAGTCTCAATCCCCAGTGTGGGGTGTGCAGGAGGCAGCCGGTCAGTGATTCTCTCTCATCATGGATGTTTCTCTCTCTCTGCCTGAAATCAACAAAAAAACAAAAAAAAGAAGAAGAAGAAGAAAGAAAGAAAGAAAGAGAGAAAGAAAGAAAGAGAAAGAAAGAAACTACCGCACCAGGTCAGCAATCACAACCAGGGACCGTTCTGTGCCAGAGAACCTCCATCATCATCATCATCGTCCCATTTTACAGCAGCATACACGGAGGCCTTTACCCAGTGTGCACCATTGCCTAGTGGAGCTGCTGGTGCACCGCCAGGCCCTTCGGAAGAGGGAGCCCGTGGCCCCTCCCAGTTCTGTCATCCTCTACGGAGCGAGAGGGAGGCCTGGGCTGGAGGTGAGGAGCACAGCGCAGAGGGACCTGTTCACAGGCCCAAACCTCGCCTCCGCCCCTGGCAGTGCCCCGCCTTCGCCTGCAGACTCACCCTCACCCTCCGGGCTTGGCTGCAGACCCCCCAGCTAAGCCAGGGCCACCTCTGCTCCCCAAGGTGCAACGAGGGCTCCCACTCTCCCTCAGGGCACTCCATCATCTTGCCAGTTGTCTCTATCCTGGCTCCCTGGCCAGATGTCAGGTCCCCTGGGGGCGGGGTCACCTCATGATGGGGGCTCCAGAACATTCTGGGGGACCCAGGCATTCCGGGGGCTCCGGCACATGCTGAAACCCTCAGCACAGAGGGGAGCAGCCAGTGAGCAGTGGGGTCAGCGTGCACCCACGGCGTCTCCCTGGCGCCCCTCACTCAGCAAATGGAGGGGAAAGCAGTCCGCTCCCGAGCCCCTCCCTGCCCTGCCTGTCCGCTGGGCCCCTCAGGCTGCTCTTCCGGCCTCACGGGGAGAAGCTGCGCAGAAAGCCTGGGGTCGCAGGTGCCCGGTGCCCGGGGAGCCACAGGGTCCCGGGCCTGGGCAGCCCAGGGCACGGCCGCGCAGTCTCTGGCCAAACTGCAGGCCTCTCTGCCCTCCGGGCCTGCAGAGCAGCTCAGACATTGATTGACTTCACGGCCAAGTGCAGAGCAAATGAAAGATGATTTCATTGTGGATCTCTCCGGCCGCTCAATAATTTAAGCCCTGCCACGCGAAACCGGAGTAAAAATAACATGTGACTCACAGGCAGAGCCTCCCTCTCCACCGGCCGCCCCCACAGCCGGGTCCCCGCTGACTCAGGCCCAGCCTCCCGGCACACGGGCGGGTCATCTGGTCCTCCGGCCGCGGAGGGCACCGGGGCCGGGGGCTGGCACCCACAGGGACTCCCTGGCCCGGCAGCCGGGTCTCTGCCACCATTCACCTGCCCGGGCAGCTCTGAGGGCTTGGTGTCTGGTCAGCTGGTCACTCAGCAAATCACAAGATCGTTTTGACCAGTTGGTTCTGAAAAGCCATTCTTGTCACTCAATTCTGCGCCCAGCACAGAGACGGACAAGGAGAGGTGGGGGTGAGGGAAGGAGAAAGAGAGAGGGCGTGAGGAGAGGAAGCTCAGTGGTGAGCGCCGACTGCATCCCAGGCCCCCCTCTGGGAACGAGAGTTGGAGCGCGGGCCGGCACCACACCCCGCCCTGAGGGTCCACAGCGCCTCTCGGGCCCCTTTCCTGGGGCCGCGGATCAGAACTAAGAAAATGGTCCTGGAGGCCAGGCGGGTGGCTGGAATTCAGGTATTGGGGGCGGGCACTCCTGACAGCTCTGGGGACCCCACCGCCTCCCCAGCCCCCTCCTCCCTGCACTCTGAGGAGCTGACGGAGTACCATCTGCTCTTGGGGGCCAGGCCCACACCACCTCACTCACCTGTGGGCGGAGGGCCGCAGGCGGGTCACACCCGGAGCCGGAGGACACCCAGGACGCAAGCCAGCGGGAGGAGGCCCTCCCAGGCCAGTCTTCACCTCTGACCTTGTCTGCAGTCCTGTGTCCCTGAGATCACATGCCTTTGACATGCCTGCTGTCTGTGCACCTAAGACAAGGTGCCTTTGAAACAGCAGGTTTCCTGGGTGGCTTTCTCCCGCCCTTACCTGCCCCCGTGGGTGTGCTGCCCCTCCGGGCCCCTCCGATTCTAACGCAGAAACTCGCTGCCAAGCCGCCGTTTTCCGGCCCCTCTCCGCCCTGAGAGCTGCCTCCCGCAGCTGTCCTCAGCCTGCCTCAGGGACGGCCTGGGCTGGGCGCTCTCGTGGGCAAGGCTGTCACCGGGCTAAGAATCGAGGGTCTAGCCCTAACTGGTGTGGCTCAGTGGATAGAGCATCAGCCTGGGGACTGAAAAGTCCCAGGTTCAATTCTGGTCAGGGGCATGTACCTTGGTTGTGGGCACATCCCCAGTGTGTGTGCAGGAGGCAGCTGATCAATGTTTCTAACTCTCTATCCCTCTCCCTTCTTCTCTGTAAAAAAATCAATAAAATATATTAAAATTTTAAAAAAGAATCGAGGGTCTAGCCTAGGGGTGTCGAACTCAATCAGAGAAGGGGCCAAAATCTAAAATCCAGCCTAAATCGCGGGCCGAATGGTTTACTGAACAGTCATAAACTGTCATTGTGATGGAAACGCAGCGGAGTGCAGTGATGACAGCGCGGTGCGGGCCACATTGCAAGGCCTGGCAGGACGGATTTGGCCCGCGGGCCTTGTGTTTGACACATGTGGTCTAGCCTGAAGAGATAGCTGGGGACCCGTCACCACCCCGGGCAAGCCTCGTCCCTCTGATCCGTGGAGGGGTGGCTGCGGAGCGGGTCCTCCAGGCGCCCACCAAGGTCACTCAGAGGGTCTTACCTCCGGGATCCTAGGACGCTCAACAGTGCTTGTGGGCAATCTTCCTGCTCGCCACTAGAGGGCAGTGGTGGGCGGAGCCTCTGCTCCAGGTGCTGGCGGAGCAGTGGGAACTGGGACCTGCAGGGAGCATCCTGCCTCCTGAGTCTGGGGAGGACAGCAGAGGCCCAGGGGAGAGACTTGCTCAAGGTCACCCAGGCGAAGGATTGACACCCCTCCCGCTCCTGGGGCTCTTCACAGGGGGCTTGGGCTGGGGTCGGGGGACACACCTAATAGGTGGAACAGCGGGGGCAGCTTGGAATCCAGGTCAGGGACCTGGCAGAGGCCCCAGGAGCCCGGATTTTGAGGACAGGTGCCTGGTGTGCCCCTCCTTGGATGGCAGCGCTTCCGTTTGTAACCTTCTGCCCAAAGATGGCGTTCACCATCACACAGTCACAGCTGCCAAAAAGACCATCTGATTATGGCCATGATTACAACCTGATACACACTGAAGTACACACGGAAACACACACACAGAAATGCAGGAAGTCCTCTATCCAGTTTCTGTCCTCTGAAGTGACCCCCCCTTCTTTCTTCCCTCCCCTTTTATTGATTTTAAAGAGGCAGAGAGAGAGAGAGAGAGAGAGAGAGAGAGAAAGAGAGAAACATCAGTGATGAGAGCGAGTCATGGATCGGCTTCTGCACGCCCCCCCCCAGGGATGGACCCCCAAACTCGGGGATGTGCC